ATGTCTGGCCCTTCCGACCGTCGTTTTGACTTGAACCTTAGTGAAGGAGCAGCCCCTCCTTCTCCAGACAACATATGGCGTCCGTCCTTCATATCCCCTACTGGTCCTCTTACCGTCGGGGATTCGGTGATGAAAAATGACATGACTGCTGCGGTGGTGGCCCAGAACCTTGTCACCCCCAGAGATAACAGACTGCTCGCTAGACGGTCTGATGAATTGGCGGTTAAGGAATCTCTGGCTCTTAGCGTGCAGTGTGCGGGTTCTGTGTCCAACATGGCCCAACGCCTATTTGCTCGAACCCGTCACGTTGAATCGTTGGTGGCTGAAATACAGAGTCTCAAATAGGAGATTAGAGGACTCAAGCATGAAAATAAACAATTGCACAAGCTTGCACACAATTATGCCACAAACATGAAGAGGAAAATTGACCAGCTGCAGGAAACTGATGGTCAGATTTTACTTGATCACTGGAGGTTTGTGGGTTTGTTCCAACCGTATCTGCCTTCGTCTTCTGGGGCGGCACCGCGTAGTGAAGCTCCAACTGTTCAACCTCCGATACCTCCTCCTTCTGTGGCCCCACCGACTACTGAGACTCCGCCGACTACTGCAACTCCGCCGACTACTGCGACATCTCCCAAGCAGCCTTTGTGAAGGCTCCCTCTTGTATTATGATATGTTTCTTTATTTCCCAGTTTGTTGTTCATTTCCACGAAGTTTAATGTTAAAATCCTTTGCATATTTGTTAATGTTTCAAAATAGAAAGTCATAACCAAAAATAATTAAATAAACAACAAAAATAAAAAAAATGACAATCATGGCAAAATAGAAATGCAGAAAAGTGAAGGTTTTTAGAAACGCAAAACTGATTGTAGAGCGATTCATAGATCTTCCTTTTTTTTGAATACATGGGTTGCCTCCCAAAAAGCGCTTTCTTTAATGTCTTGCAGCCGGACGATACCTCCCGTCACATTCCCCTAGGTTCCATGGAAGTGATCTTCGAATGGAAGGTGATACTTGAAGTGATCCGGCAATGGTGTAAATTCTAGTATGGGTGCCTGAATCATCAAAATCAGCAAGTTAGTGGAAAACGTATGTAAAATTGGAGAAGATGACTTACTTGCTTTGTCCGACAAGAACTCAATGACAAACACCACATTTTTGAAAGTTTCAGGGATATTGGACTTGGCCAGATTGAATGTGATGGTTGGGACTTGTCCCATGTCATAAAATTCAACTTCTTTAGGAATGGTTGTCTCAAGCACATCTTCTTTGATGCATTCTACATCTTCTCCAGCCACTACTTTCTCTTGAATCATTCTTCTTGGTGTACAAAGTCCTTTGAACATTTCAACACAATCTGGAACTTGATTTGTTGCACTAAGAATTGGAATATCATTTTGCACCTTTGGGAAGGCTTCCACGATGTCTTTTTCACTCTCTTCTTTCTTGGGAATAAAAAACCTACGAGGAAAAGGGACGTTCGGAGGAATAACATTAGAATGAAATGAAATTGGGACGTCCTTACTTGTGGTGGGTGGTTTAGAGGGCTTAAGGGGCTGCGGAAAGGGTTGTTCTACCCTTTCCGTATGTATGTCTTCTTCCTCCTCCTCAATCAGCAGCTCCTCATCCACTTCTAGGCTATGTTTGGATGTTTTTAGGTTAGCTTCAACCTCCATAGCACTTCTCAAAGTGATAGCATCATGGATTTCAAAATCTTCCTTCGAATTTTCAATAGTTGAGTTGGGGAGTTCACTCTGCTCTTGAATTTGTGCAATGAACTCCATAATCTGCCCAGGTTGCTTCTCCAATTCACTCGCCTTCTTGGCTTGATTTTGTATCTCTTTGTTTTGATTCTACTTTCTGGTTCAAAGAGGTGAGTAACTTATTAAACATATCATCATCCAAAGACGTACCTGAATTGAATTGGGCAGATTGTTGTGGTGACTGTGACAGTTGATATGGCCAGTGATAGAACTCCTCCGATGGTGGCAGATATTCTTCTTGTTGTGAGCCCTGCACCATAGAGTTTAATTCATTAAGAATTTGATTGTAATCTATTGACGAGTCTGAGTTTGATTGGGCATATTGTATATGAGGTTGTGGTGGCTGCATAGGTCCTGAATAGAATTCCTCATATGGCTGCCAATATCCTTCATGTTGAACTTGTTGAGCTTCCCACCACATAGAGTTTGAATGATCACTCCAATCTCTTTGTGGGCATTGATTGGCTTGATATCCTTGCCTATAAGACGCACCAAATGTAGGGACACTTTGCATTGTGGTCCTTTCGGCATACTGTGACAATTGAGAAGTAAGATTTGCCAATTGAGTTTGAATGCTAGCAAAATCCATGTCTTACTTCTCCAGTACCTAAAATCAAAGAAAGAAAACTAAATCAAATATCAAAAGTAAAACAAAAGACATGAAAAAGAAACAACGGGGATTAGCAAAGTTGCTAATCCCCGGCAACGGCGCCAAAAATTTGATGCGTAAAATAACTAAACACACAAATTAAACCCTCTTTTTATCAATTGTAGTAAAGTATGTAAGTAGGGATCGTTCTAGGCCGGGGATTAGGAGGGATTGCTAAATCACTTGGAAACTGACTTGAAAACGTAAAAACAAAGTTTAAAACACTAACTAGACTCAAAGAATGCAAAACTAAACTTTAAAACATTAAAACAAACCAAAAGACTCAAAACAGCCCCTAAACACTCAAAACTACCTTAAACACACAATCTGGGCAGTTTTGGGACTCTAACACAAACTTGGACGAATTTTGGTTTTCTAATGAACTAAACACTTAAAAACATAATCTAAGACAAGTTCTAATTAATATGACTCAAAGAAATAAGATGGGGTTGATTTTGGACGAAAATAATTAAATTAAGACAAGAACAAAGTAAACAAATTCTTAGACAAATTTAAGTGAATCAAAACAAATTGTAAAATGAATTTGAATGAAACTTATGGATGGAAGGCTAGCTAGGAGGTTCTTCTCCACACATGTCACACTTGCATACAAAACGATTTCCAGTTGCTTTTCGATAAGCTATGAATACTCAACGCCCCAAATTAACCGTGAATTGCACTAATTAACCCTCAGTTTTTCCACAAGTTATTGGATTGGATGATTGCATACGACAACCCAAAACATTCCCTACAAGTTCCCTACATGAATTGCATAATAGAGATACAAGCAAGAATCATTAAGTTCTATGAAAAACATAAGCATTGACGAGGCACTCGTTACTATGAATTGCATGAAACTTATGCCAAGAATTTACTTAACGTGATTGTGACTAACAACCTTCACTACTTGTGAATATAAGTTCATAACGATTAGGTGAAACTCCCTTATATTCTAGCGTTAAATTCATGCATGAAAATTAAGCGTGCACTCTCAACCAACATACACAAATCATTTTTTATACGATCGGATAAGTAAATTGAATTCACAACTTATGAATCACAACTGGATGTAATCAAATCATATTGCAAGTATGAACATAGTTTCGAATCACCCCCTAACTAAGAGGGGTTTAGTTCCTCATACTCACAAAGCAAAGATACATAAAATTAGACATTAAAATCAAAGGAAAGAAAACACCTAAAATGCTCCAACTTGGCAACAAGTGCATCCAAGAATTCTCCTTTCCCTTGCTTGCGGCAGATTGCTTTGTGGACAGTTTTTGGGTAGTTTTATGATGTAGAATGGATGGGAAGGTTTAGGGTGAGTGTGGAGGAGTGTTTGATGTTTGGAGGGTGGTGGAGAACTAGGCAAAGAGGGTGGAAGAAGTTGGAGTGGCTGTTATGTTTTCTAGGCACTAGAATGGTGTTTTTGGGGTGTTTTGCTTCCTAGGGTGTGTATGGACGAATTTTTGTGATAAAATGATGAATATGGGGGATTGTCCTTTGGCCAAGGGGTGTAAACATGTATTTATAGGCCCCAAAAACCTTAGAAAATCAGGTTAGGTTAAGGATGAAATGCATGGCAATTTGTGTGTGTGGTGTGCAATGGTCCAAGGGTGAAAATGAAGTAATGATGCAAAGTGTGAAGGGTAAAATGGAGTGGTGTAGTAGCTAGGGAGCATGAATGATTGTGTACATTGCATAGAGATGGAAAGGGAGGTGAAATGTGTCAACAAATGGGTCAAAGGTGCAACAACATGTGTTGCACATGGCATTGGATTCCAAATGTGAATGATGGAGCATCAATTGGTGCATGTAATGGATGTAAATGTTGTCTAAAATCTAATGAGTGAAGGGAACAAGAGGTATCAAGCAATTGAGTGTAATAATTAAATGAATTGAAGCATGAAATTAGAAATTATGTAGGGGACAAGAGTGATCAAGCATGGCATGGAATCTAAAGGGAATTCTATGTGGTTTGCATGGCAAGGAATGCAAGTTGGGGTGACAGATTTTTGGGCTGTTTTCTTCATCTTTTGGACCATAATTCTTCATATTCTTGGCCTCTTTAGTTCTCAAATTCGTCCATCCACTTAGCCCATGCATTTGCTATCCATTCCAAGCCCGAAACATGCTCCAAAGGCCTCCAAAATGCATCTTCTTGCATACTTTGTACTTAGAGTCTGAAAACACACGAAAATGACTTTAAACATTAAAATAACTAAGGAAACACGACATAAATGCACAAGAACAAGCCAACTAAGTCGCATAAATATGCTCCTATCAGTACTCTTATAGGGTTCAGGAGTGTAATTGTAAAAAATCAGCAAAATCAGAGTTAAAATAACTATTAAATTGTGAGTTTTCATTTATAACTATTGAAAGGTTTCATCCCATTGACCTTTTCACAAAAGTTGTTGAGCTTGATATTACGAGTGTTTGTAGATTTTTTTTATTTTTTTTGTATCTCTACATTAATTAAAAAAACTATATTAAAAATCAGAACAAGACATACTTCTACATTAATAATCATAGTATGTGAGATTAAATCCTTACCGTGTGTTTTGGAGAGCTGTCAAAATTTTGGCATGGCGCCTTTTATTTTTAGCTCTCTATTTTCAAAACTTCTCTTTCTCGCAGCTTCTCTGTATTTCCTCTTCAGAAACAAAACCCTAGCCTCCATCCTCCATCCTCTAGTAGCCATACATGATGATGATAGAAACCATGAAATCCTCACACATGTTGTTTTTCAGTTTATATCTTATGAGGTCTGACATATATATTTTCAGGTCTCGCCTGGATTTGAGATTTGGAAGCAGAAAACGAGAAGGCTAAGAGGATGGTGAAGGACGTGGCAACTTACTTCTTTATTGCTTTGGGTGCTTTTGTGTTCTGGCAATCCATGGATGAAGTCCACGTCTGGACGAAGAGGTAAAAATCTCTTCTTTCTCATGCCTACAAATGCAATTTCTCTTTTAGATTGGACTTATAATTTGGGTGATTAGCAATTTTTTATTTTAAGAATTTGATTGACAAGCCAAGTAGGGCTTTTGCTGTTTGTCTTCCAAGTATGTGGGCAAGCCAATTATCCGAGTTTTCATTTCAATTAGGGATTTTGCTTGTCGAGAGAGACTCAGAGAGAAAAGGGAATCAGAATCGAATTCAGTGTCTTAGGGTTAGGGCTTCCAATCATTATATTGTGATCTCCGTCGCCGAGTCCGAAAGGAGAAACCCCAGAAGGTATTGATTCACTTCTTGTTCCTTGCCATTTTCGCAATCAAATTCTGATTCTTTATTCTCTAACTGCTATCTTATGCCTCAATTCAGCTACTTAAGGTGATTAGTGTGTAGGGGCAAAAACATTTATTCGGTAATCCAATGCATTTTGTGTAATTTCAAGTTGATTAAGGTAGTTCTCCAATGGCTAAGAAATCTGTAGCTCAACGAAGGCTAACGAAACTCGATGTCTATCTTTACCTACCCAACATGATTGGTGAGTTTTTCACTTCCTAAACAGAAATGTTACTATGAAACTACATTGTCAAGTAAGCTAGAAATGGGTTATTGTTTTGATAAATGATTTTGCGATTACTGTGAATGCAGGGTACGTAAGGGTTCTTATGAACTGTTTTGCCTTTGCCCAGTGCTTCTCCAACAAGCAGCTTTTCTCTGTTCTCTATTTCGTCAGGTGAGGATTCGTGCTCTTGAAGAATTCATTTATCTGGTGTTTGGATTTGTGGATTTGGAAGAAGTGAGTTGAAAACAGAGTTTAAAATATATCGTCGAAGGATTCATTTAATAATGTGTTTTCTTTTCTCAATATTTTATGCAAACAAAGTTTAAACTAAATCATTGAATCGAAACTTTCAATTCAAAGCCACAATTCAAATGCAATCTTAGTTTTTTAGCCGTATTTTGTTGGTCTTGTCTTGTTGGGTATAATATATGATTAAGTTTGCTATTCCAGCTTTGTCTGCGATGGGGTAGATGGTTGGTGTGCTCGCAAATTCAACCAAGGTATGAGATTCTGTGTATCGTGTGATGTCTTTTATTGGAGGAGTATTTCATTTATGCATATACACACTTGTACAAACAAATTGTTGAACTTCTGTACGGATACTGAGCATAGGGTTGATCTTACAAAATGTCAACGTTTCATCAGACAGCAAACTCTAACAATTGAGTTAAGCGCAACATCGTCCAGTTCTCTGTGAACTTGTGATTTGACATATACTTCTCTGTGAACTTGTGATTTGGCATATACTTTAACTTCTCTGTGAAGTTGTGATTATATAGTTCAGTTTATTTGATATAGTTGTCCTTATCATCCTGAAATTGTGAAACATCATAATTGTTAAACTGTGCATATAGTTTTACTTTCCTTATTATATTTTTTAGAGTCTTTGGATTATGAGCATTCTCTGATCTTAGGGTGGTATGAGAAAAATTGAAGAACGTATTGGAGGTGTGTTTAATTTTCACTTCAACTACTCACTTGCATTATTTATGGTATAGATTGGTGGTTGATATGCTCACACCTTGAGCTAAAATTATGCAAGGCTCTTCATTTTAGCTTATGTTTATTTTATGATTTTCATTGTTTGGGTTTCTTACCAATTCGATCAGATTTAATAAACTTCAAATCGTACTCATTCATGGACGTAATCATGGTGCGCTTCAGAAAATGTCTTTCATGATTAGATCGTTCGTAGGAGCGAGCCAAAAAGCCATGAAATCCTCGTTAGGGAGGTATTTCCATTTGGTTATGCTTCAGGCTTAAGTCTTCAAATGAAGATCATGGTAGAGGCTTATTCAACTTTTCAATTCAATTGTTGGCTTCAATGGTTTCTCAACTTCTTGATAGTCAAGTGGAGATTCACGTCTTATACACACTTAAAGCGGTTTTTGCTGAAAACGTCCAAATTAGTGAAATCGAACATGTGATGGTTTGACAATCCATTGAATGGAGGGAACAAAATTGTGATTGGCGCTATGGGAAACAAAATATCCATGAGCATCAATGTTAGAACATTCTGGTTTTAAAACATGGTTTACATAAAAAACTTCGGGTTTCCATGGGTGTATTGTTTTATGAAAACTTCGGGTTTCAAAGGCACTAGATTGAAACTATAGGTTCGAGTTTAGTTATGAACTTTGATATGGATTTTACCACAAACGCAAAAGGGTTAAAAACATCTATAATACTTGCAACAATGACAAGGATATTGTAGTATAAATGGTTTCTGCAAGGTCGTTCTTCACAAGGATTATTAAATAATTCGAAACAAACTAAATTCCAGTTAGTTATTGTAAAGCAAAGATTTAGGATGATTGATTTTATGATTTAATTTAATAAAAGAGAATTTAAATAATGAAAGTAGAAAAATCCGCAGTATTAAAGATGAGGAAAAATGGAATAGTTTTGTAGAAATCAAGTTAAGAAAACACTAGGGATCCGCCTTTACCTTAACAATTGTATATAGTTCTCCTAATTACTTATAACCTATACATGTATATTTCGAAGGCTGTGACGCGGCTGCAACTTCCATTTGGGCAAAACTTGTGATGGATATTCATGCCAATGAAGGAGTCTCAACTCGTTAGGGAGATAATCAATTTCTCCAGATAGGCGCACATTACTATTTACAAAAAGTACTTGAAGATTTTTCATCTTTGAGAAGCTTTTAGCATTCAGACATATCTGAACTGGTTCGGAGCCTTCAGGGATCTGTAACTTGATGCCTTTAATTTTATTTGTTCCCTAGGATTAGAAAATATTAACATTAGCCAATGAAGTTCACCAAAAAAAAAAGGAAGCTACTATTAGCACTCTAAAAAAATCATCAAGCACTTCCTTCCTAGTGTAAAATATAAGAACATAGGCCTGGTTTTCTTTGTAGCCTTCAGACCTCCTTTCTTATTTTCATGATTAGGGTTTCTTCCTTCTTCTTTTTTCATACATATATTTTTTAATTTTCTTCTAGATTTTATGTTTTTTCAATTTTATTTTTTATTTTTAATATTAGTTAAAATCCACATAAGTATCCAAGTCACTTAATGAATAAATAAGAACCCTTCGATGTTATAAAATCTAAAGGCTCCAAAGAATGTAAAAATGTTTGTCCCTTAATCCTAAACCCTATATATATAAATATATATAACAGAGGAACAAGAAGCTTACCAAGCTTGTGGGTATAAGTATTATAGATAAATATATGAGAGGAACAAGAAGTTTACGAAGCTTGTGGGGTATAAAGAATAATAATAACCACTGGTCCACCAGAAGAAGGTTTTAAATCTTAATTTGCAAAAGCACGTAGCATGTAAAGATGTTGTAAAAAGAATGATTTATGCAAGGTTGATTAGGGTTTAGGTAGCTCACGGGAAGAAAGAGACTTGTATAATTTGCAGAAGCATGTAGCATGTAAAGATGCTGTAAAAAGAATGATTTATACAGGGTTAAGGTAGCTAACGGGAAGAAAGAGACTTGTATGGAAACCAATGACTTTTGGTAAAATAAATAGATCGTTTGACCTTCGACAATCAAACCACCTTCAAACTCAATCGGAGGCTTACGTTTACTGTTCCCAGCTCACACACCCCCTCATGTTCCTTTCTTTCTTACAATTTCAAGTAAATAAATACTGCACAATGGTGATGAAACTGGCCTTCTTTTTCATTTTATATTTTACTACATCCATGGTCGCCACCCCAGGAACGGAGGGGCTTGAGTTCAGTTTAATTGGAAACAACGATGCGGACGACTATCAAGTTAACCGTGCTGAAGCATGCAGAAGCTTCATTGGATCTCTCCGACAACTATTGCTCGGTCCGGATCCACACAGGTCACAGAGTATATGGATTTCTTGTGCTTCCTACAAGTCAAGCTTGTCAACTACGAAGAAGATCGCGTCACCGTAATTATTGATATTTCGAATGTGTATGTGGAAGGATTCATCGCCGACAATGTACGCTGCCACTTCGAAGACTATCCTTTAGAAGCAGATTACGTAGCTTAGTTGTACGCTACAGGGAACAAAGCTATGTAATCTACTTCTAAAGGACAGTCTTTGAAGTGGCGGCGTACATTGCCGGCGATGAATCCTACCACATACACATTTGAAATATCAATAATTATGGTGACGCGATCTTCTTCGTAGTTGACAAGCTTGACTTGTAGGAAGCGTTGTCGATTTGGCAACGTCGATGCAGCTCGAAGCACAAGAAATCCATATACTATGTGACCTGTGTGGATCCGGACCAAGCAATAGTTGTCGGAGAGATCCGATGAAGCTTCTGCATGCTTCAGCACGGTCAACTTGATAGTCGTCCGCATCGTCGTTTCCAATTAAACTGAACTCAAGCCCCTTCGTTCCCAGGGTGGCGACCATGGATGTAGTAAAATATAAAATGAAAAAGAGGGCCAGTTTCATCACCATTGTGCAGTATTGATTTACTTGAAATGGTAAGAAAGAAAGGAACATGAGGGAGGGGGTGTGTGAGCTGGGAACAGTAAACGTAAGCCTCCGATCGAGTTTGAAGGTGGTTTGATTGTCGAAGGTGAAACGACCTATTTATATACCAAAAGTCATTGGTTTCCATAGAAGTCTCTTTCTTCCCGTGAGCTACCTAAACCCTAATTAACCTTGTATAAATCATTCTTTTTACAACATCTTTATGTGCTTCTGCATATTAGATTTCCGGTAGGCAAAGCACAAAAAATTACACACAATGAAACTATTGAAACTTTAAAACCTACTTCCCAAATAAGCTTCTCCGACTGGCTAATGGCCAAATTGGATTTATATTATCATTTCAAACACTGCAATGCCTGAGTTTTTTTACTAGACATTCTAATTAATCATTATTTAACTAAAGATACAATTCATAGAACAATAATTGGACAAAACAGGTGAAGCAATATTAAAATCATGGGGTTACCTGAATTTTGAGGTCTGAGGGTGATAGCTTAATGGCACCAAATTGAAATCGTAAACCCAAAAACCCAATCAAATGATAAGGAAAGGAAATAAAAATGTTACCTTCCTGAGTATCCAGAAGCTGCCTCAGATTTTGAGTCGCATAACTAAGGTTATTACTGCTAAATGCAAAGAAGAGAAAATACATGTTATTACCTATAAAAAGCATAATAACCAACAAGGTTTTGCTCAAATATGTTATTAATTAATTTACAACAAAATTAACTGAAGCAAACAAATCTGAAAACAGGGCTAACCATCAAATTCTCAGGGTTTGAGCTTCTTGGTTTCAGGTTTACATGCTGATCTGCTTACTTTGTCACATTCAACTCTCGAGCATTTTTAGATGCGTAAATTACCTTAACTACCACAACAATATATTAAAAAAAAATTCACAAAAAAGTATCTAATTTCACAAAACAAATTACTTAGTTGTAAAAAAAATTCAGAATCCCAGATTAAATTTCAACTTTAAAACCCCCAATTCGGACAATATACGGTATATACCCACAATACCTCCAAAGATGCTCACCTGAACAAAATGAACAAAAACTGCCCAACTCAGTTGGACATTCCCTTAAACCACTCCAACATAAACAATCATGCTTTTAGCACAACACAAACCGTACAGGGCACTCAAATCTGGGCACAAAAATTGAAATTTGAAGCAGATCCAGATATCTTCTAGCCTCTGAAAGAAAGAGAACCCTAAATGTCAACCTTAACGTTTCAGACTCACTAAATTCCAGTGTTTCTTCTACTTTCTAACAATGTGGTTGTTTCTGTGTGCGTGTGTGAGCAGAGAGAGAGAGAGAGAGAGCTGTGAGCTGCAAAAAACCTCATTATTTATATCAAAGGACATGTAGAAAACATGCATTAGGAAGCAAAGTGCTAAACCTGTCTCTCATAGACACATCCTTATTATTCTAATGAATTACCCAGCTATAACTCATCATCCAAGTTTCAACTCAAACTCTGCTGAATCATATATGCCTTCACGCTGCAACCACAGGAACTGCAGTCTCCTCGACTTCTTCAGCCTTTCCCAGCAAAATCACCAACTATGAGACAGAAAGAGGGACAATTTTAGTATTAGGAACACATAATTATTACAAAAAGTCCAGCAGTGAGTAACATAACAACTTTGATCAGTAAAATCAAAAGAAAATAACGAACCTGAGCCTTCAGCACAATCCGTCCATCTTCGCCATCCAGCTTCGAGACAAAAATAGAGGTGCTTATGCCTGTTCCAGTAGCATCCCCACAACATTAACCATTATGTTTATCAAAATAACTGGAAATCAAACACAACACTCGTCAAATATCAACTTACTCTTTTCAACGGCAACTCCATTGCTCTTGACACTCTCAGCAATTGTGATCAGAGTATGAATAGCTGTACCAAATAACTTGCAAAAATTAGAACAAAATGCTGAAACTTGATGCAAATTAAAACCATGGCTGCTCTAATTAACACTAACAAATCTGTTGCCAAATTGTAAGTGATTGAAAAAAAATGCTAAAAAACAATGTGAGTCACAAAATACATGAAAATCCCAGATCAAATTTCTTGATAAACTTTAAAAACCGCAATTCGGACAATATACCCATAATACCTCCAAGGACACTTAATTTGCATAATTCACAACAAAAAAAGAGTATACATACATCAAGTTTCGCTCTTAAATTCGAAGGAGGACAAAATTAAGATTAAAGTTTCACGGTTCTTACCCAAATTTGGCCAAATTCAAGCCTACCATCAGCAATTCCAGTTCGTACACCCTCAAACCACCATCACCCAGATGAATGTTAAACATGCAACAGGAAAACGAATCAATTCCCTAAAATTTCGAAATTGGGGATGATCTGAAAATGGACTAAAACCTAGAATAACTTACCTTGAGTAGAGAGGGTTTTAGAAAAGGAAGCCGTACGTTGGAGGCCCAGAATTTAACGCCGCGGCGGCGCCTGGTGGTGGCGGTGGTTCTGTTGAGTATCGATGCAGATCTGTGTTTTTTTCCATTTATTATTCCAGTCATCTATACATCAGACAGAATCTGTCATTTCCGAGAGGATTCCTCTTTTTTATGTTTGCAGATCCATCGGATTGACCATTTCCTTGGCAAAGAGCATACAAGCATCAGACAGATAATCGGACGCATGCATGAAGTCAAGGTTGATTTCATCTGACCTCGGAGGTCATGAAATCAGATGGCAGAGAAAGGAAGGATTTTACCTCGATGGATTTGCAGCCATTTTCATGGTTACCGTTCGAAGGGAGTAAGGAGAGTGATATTTCTCGAACGGAGGGACTTGAGTTCAATATGTTTGGAAGAACCATCAAGTTGACCGTGCATATCGAAGCTTCATCGGATCTGTCCGAGCTCTATTGCCCGGTCCGACTCCGCTCACAGTACACCACATGATGGTTGTCGACATCCTCGTTTCCAATTATAGAAAGCCTCCGATCGAGTCTGAAGGTGGTTTGATGAAGGTGGTTTGATTGTCGAAAGTGAAACGACGTATTTATATACCAAAATCATTGTTTTCCATACAAGTCTCTTTCTTCCCGTGAGCTACCTAAACTCAACCCTGTATATTCTTCCGTGAGCTACCTAAACCCTAATCAACCCTGCATAAATCGTGCATGTTTACGTGCTACGTGCGTGAGCTACCTAAACCCTCGTCAACCATATTCTTCCCGTGAACAGTAACTTTTGTTGATGCCACAACTTCGATCGTCAATCAAAATTGCCAATGTGTGAAACTCTGCTCAGTAGGTTGGGCAGAGCAATGGCAAGCTAAAAACAAAACAAAAACAAGCAGAATAATTACATGTAGTGCAGGATGTAGAATGTCTTTTCCTCATTGCAAATCCCAAGCGACCCAAATCTGGATGGTAAAATACTTGGAGTTGGAATTAATAGGATTGACTGAAACACGGATTTTTTTTATTACATTGGTATATCTGACTTAGTTAAGAAGTAGTTTAAGACAGTCATTAGGAAATTTCTGTAACTGAACGTAGTTGTTTTCATGAGGTTGATAAATACAATGAGGTGCTTCTATACCAAGTAATTTTATACGGACACATTGTGTGATGTGTAAAATGGCAAAAGGAATACCCATTCCCGTCCAGCCTTCTGTTTTCTGAGTCTTACTTATTTTTCATTAGTCATATGAAAGACACTGCAATAACTTGGGATCAAAATATCTAAGAAACTTCTATAGAGCGTTTGTAAAAGTAATTTAGATCTTATTAGTTTATATTAATCCTTCACTTCTGTTCATTCGTTGTAATTTCTATATGATTTGTCCACTTTTGTCATCTATAATATATGCTCGTAATGTAGGTCTCTAGCTATTTTCTTTGAATGCATATATACTTCTCTGTGTTTTATCACAGTGAGATTACTCTTGAAGGAAGAAGTACATGCAAGCTTGATCAAAATTTACTCAACGGAAACAATATAGCCATTGTAGGTCGTTAGGCCATATCCAACCGAAAGGGTTTAGTATTGCCTCGTCCAGAATTATAGCCCTGCAAAAAATTATTTTTAAATGAAACAGTGCCACGCAAATCAACATATTGGATTGTCAATGGGTACCCATTAAGATCCATTTAGTTTGATTTCACCTTGTACTATCACCACCACTACCATTATCACCTTTATATTATGATGATATCAAATTATACGGGTCTTAACAGATACTCATTAAGGTTTCCCATGTGGGCATGAAGTCATCCTTGTCCAACAAAAAAAAAAAAAGGGTCCAAACTACATTTTACACCCCATATATTTGAGTTGGTTTTTGAAATGAGTCTCGAGGTTTCAATTTTTTTCACATTGCACCTTGAGTTTTTAAAATTGTATCAATTTACACATTTTGTTTATTTGAACTTGTAATTCTCTATTAAATTGATGAGTTTTTAATTAATGTGGTGTAGTCGGACAGAGCCAAAAATTTCTTCTAGTGAGGGCAACCGAAAACAACTAAGAAAACCTTATTATAATATGGTTATATGCAATATGATATTAAGGATGTTTTCAAATGATGATGTATCACAATTCCAATGTTACAAAAATTTCAATATAGTAGTGGAAAGTGGCAAATTGATGAGAAAAATATAAGTACATGATAGGCGGGAGAGGGTTTTTTTTTTGGTTTGGATGATAGAATAAGAGCACTATTGCTCATATAATATTTGATACGGAGTATAAGTACAATGAATGTATGTTGGATATTAGATATATATTTTCTTCAAAGATAACCTGTGTATATTATATAATTGTAGCCTGTAACTAAACAAACGAATTACTTGAGTGGGGGCATCTGCCCCCAGTGAGCCTTCATTGGCTCCGTCCATGGGTGTAGATGTAGTTTCATATATATATATATATATATTAACAATTATTATAATGGAAAAGAGTTTGAAACTATTACAACAATTTAGGAGAGAGAGTTTTGATCCTAAAACAAAATGGGTTGAAACTCAAGACCCTATCCAATAGGAAAGTGGTGGACCGCATGCAATGTAACTTGCATATCAATCCTATTACGAGTTTTATGCTCATCATGTCATCAATTTATGGAATACTCAAATACAAATGCGTAAATAACAACAATTTCAAAACTTCATACTGCAATTTGAGAAAATTAAAACCGCATGACACATTTTAAAAAAACCACCCCAAACTTAAATATTAGTTAAAATCCACATAAGCATCCATGTCATTTAATGAATAAATAAGAACCGTTGGATGTCATGTAATCAAAAGGCTTAAAAAAGAGTGTAAAAGTATTTGTAAAAATATTTGTCTCTTGATCCTATCCCATATATATATATATATATATATATATATATATATATATATATATTAGGAGCCCTATATATGGTAGGAGTCGGATTTGTATTTATTCTTTCCCTGTGAGAACAAGCACATATATATATATACAGGGTCGGTCTAGAGATTTTTGAGGCCCGGGACGACGTAAAAAAAATTGCCCTAACTTCATGTGAGAAAGTTATTTATTTTCACACATAAGACATCAAAAAAATTATACTTAGAAAAACACTTCAAACTCAATAATTTAGAAACACAGAAAGACGAATTTATTTTGTATTGAGAGAGGGAAACAAAAAAACTTCGGACTTACAAGTAGATAGATGATTAGTTTTGTTTTCCATCTGAACTTTGAATGTGTTTTTGAATAAATCGTGAGATGTTTTTTTTCTTATTTACTAACCTTGTCAATATAGGACTAAAAAATAATGATGTTTTCAAGTCTTTAATTGATATGTATTATTAATGAATGGGCACTAAATTAAACATTTTGATGACACGTCATATAATTTGCAAATTTGGTCTACGTATTATTCTTTGTTGAAGATTAGACTTGAATTAAAACGAATATTTAAAAATAACAACCCACATAGCTACTAAATAGTAACTAAAAATAAATTAACAACCAAACAAAAATTTGTAAAAATTGAATAAAATAAACATGCACATAGCATTTCGAACTTAGGACCTCTTGTTAATTTTAAACAACAAAAATCATTGTTTCTAATTAAACTTCTTGATCCTTTAACCAAATTTTATAAATTTATACTCTTATAAAAAGAAATTTGTAAAAAATGAAAAGTAAATAAGCACACATGGTGTTTTGAACCTAAGACCTCTTCATTATTTTCAAATGACAAGCCACCACTTCTAGTTAAATGTTTGTGTCTTTAAACCAAATTTTATAATTTATACTCTTATAAAAACATATATAAATATATCACCCTAATAATTTTGGTGCCCCTAATTGTTTTGGGCCCTGGACGGTCGCCTTGCCTGCACTGGGCCTGGGCCGGCCCTGTATATATATATAGAGACACACACAATCTATATCTATATATTTACATTTATATTGTAACCCTAACGATCAATACGCACGAGACTTCAGCCATTCGCTTTCTACTATTATGGCGGGTAATGATGGAGAATTGCCGATCTTGTCCTCCAACAACGACGATATAATCGTCGAGATACTTTCATGGTTACCGGTCGTATCTCTCCTCCAATTCCGTTGTGTATGCAAGTCATGGCACGCCTTAATCACTACTCCCCAGTTCGTGGCCAAGCACCGAGCACATACCAACGACAACAACAATAATGTACTGATTCTCACGAAACCGAACCCCCACCAGCACCCCCTCTGTATCTCCCCTACTGATTGACTACCAATCACTGAAGAAGAATGTTGCCACCTACGCCTCTGCCTCTTCATCAGCGATACGAAGCAACCATAGAGACGTTGAAGCTGAATTTCCAGATGATACTAGCCTCAACGATTCATCACTCGTGGGTTCTTGCAATGGTCTCATCTGCCTACTACTTAACCCTCCAATTGCATACTATGAAGAATACTATGAAAATATAAGATTTCTCTTGTGGAACCCTAGTACCAGAACAGCCCGTAAGTTACCGGACATTGATTGGTTTTGTTTCAGGCCATGTTATTACGGATTCGGCTACGATTCCAGCACTCAAGACTACAAGGTCCTTTTGGGTGGTAAAAATTACAAAGATGGATTTGCTGCAATCTTCTAACTCAAAGCAGACTCCCTCGAGCCTGCGGCCTCGTTATATTATAACGGCCGAGGGTGCTTCTTAAATGGAGCTCTACATTGGAATCAGAGAGACTCTGAGGGGACAACAATAATCAGGTCCTTTGATTTCGCACAGGAGAAATTTCATTCGTTTTCCTATATTAGGCATAAACGATGTTATTGGGCGAAAGTGGGGACTTGGACATCGTCTCTTCTTCCACACTCTCTGCTGCCATTCTTCCACAATAACTCTTCTTGACTATGAGGACATTGGCCTTACCATATGGGTCATGATGGAATATGGGGTCGATCAATCTTGAACTATGTTCGTAAAAATTCGGCTGGAGATTTACCCTCCTAATGTGTGGTCTTCCTCGACGATGGTGCACTTTTGATGGAATCGGATCGAGGTGACTTGGTATTATATATGCCTAAGGAAGATACATGCAGGATTGTGCTCGACAATTCTGATGTCAAAGAATTGAGAGCTTCTTATTCGTCTGGGCGTGCAGAAATGGTTATGTCCGTAGGCACTTTGGTTTCACCAGAAATGGTCATGCATTTGATTTGTAAGATACCAAATGGTATATTGTGAGCCTCGTCTCTCTTTTGCTCTTTTTATTAATTTAACAACGTAATTTCAAGGTAGTGAGTATTATTTAATGTTATTGAGAATTATATTACTGATCTATTCCTCTTTTCATCAGCATGTACGAGACCAAATTTAGATTTATATCTATTTCTCCTTTCATGATCATGTACGAGAACAAAAGGACATACATAACCCCATCGATATAATTCCAGGCTGCATTTCTTTATAAATGAGATCAAACGTACGTACGTACGTACATACATATATTTAAATAGAGAGAGAGAGAGAGAGAGAGAGTTCTGGAAGAGAAAACGATCCATTAGTGTAGGGGGAAAAAGATGATAAGGTCAACGAATTTGTACTCAAACTTGCAACATGTTTACATATAGAAAAGTAAACCATCAACTTATACGCGACTTATTATCCATTTAGTGTTTGTCGAGTTTGTGAATGTGATCAATTAGTCACAACTCACCAGGTTGTGGGATAGGTTGGAGGGTCTGAGATGAATCTCTGGGGATGAATCTAATGAAGAACTTAAATAAGATGTTTATAACGACCAAGCACACGTGGCATCTTGGCCTTCACTCATGTATGTGACACGTGGCTCAAGAGGAACTAAAATAAGATGTCAAAGAAACATATAGGGGACGTGCAATTAATAATATTACATGAACTAATGTAAATATAGTAATACACTAGAAATTGAGCCCGTGCGATGTCATGGGTTTTAAAACTATATTAAATGTGTGAAATATATTAAAATATATTCTCATTCAAATCAAAATTTATTTACATCTTAATGAAGAACCAAAACAGTCCATAAACATGGTATTTGGCCCCTCAATATGCAGACGCCATCCCCCATCTTCATTCTGCAAATACAAAGACGTTTCATGACAATCAAATTCTCAAAAAAGTATTCAGCCATGACAAAAGTTTTTACTATTCAGTTCAAGGTTAGAAGTTATTTTCATGAAAGTTCAAATCTCGGTTGAATGGGCCTTATCTTGTTACTTCACTTAGAGCTGTTAATATTAAAAGTGAGCTTAATGGTACACATTCAAGATGAATGGCCACAAGCTGAAACCGTACTTAGAGTCATCCTTCGATATTACGAGCAAGTCAATGACTCTTAAGTAACTAGTGATCCAACCACTGAACTTCAACTGTCTCAACAGATTAAATAAATTGCTTATGCGGAGGCAACCCTATTTTCTAACCCTTTTCTCTTTTCTTTAGAGCACCTCTATATAGGGACTCCCACCACAAACTTTGAGGACTCATTTAGGAGCTTGAAAAGAATATTTGAGTTCCTAAAAAAATAGTCTGCAATTGTAAATCCTTATAGTATCATCCCTAAATGTAGAGACAAAAATATTATTATTCATTTCGTTGGAGTATCGTGCCCATTGATAAAAATAAAAAATCTATTTCTGCCATTGATTTTTCAAGAGTTTACAACATAAAATAAATAAATAAATAAAAAAGGGAGCCAAATGAGAAGGTTTCCCATGTGGGCTGGTCCAAAAACGAGGAAAAAACAAAAAAAACAACAACATTCCAACTCAAAACTAAAACAGGTCCACTTTTTCAATTCTCATATTTGAGAATTTCTTTAAAATATTTGGCAGGTCCACTTTTTCAATCCTCATATTTGAGAATTTCTTTAAAATATTTGGCAAATCCTTATATATTAAGATATTTTGAGAACTTCAAATCCAACCCATTAAAAGTCGTTTTTATTTATTTATTTATTTCTAGATGCATATTTTCTTTGTTACCCACTTATTTCAATTTTTTTTTTAAATAGAAACTCTAAAAAAAAAAATTAAGTGTGTATATATATATATATATATGTGTGTGTGTGTGTGTGTGTGTTTGTTTTATTTACTAGTTAGTTTTAATTTAAATTTTCCGTTTTCACATTCTGTGTTTCAACATTAGAAACATTTGTTTCAAAACTTGTGTGTGTGTTACAATTTGTGCTGTGTAAGCTTGGGGTGATAAAAACAGAATATTAATTGAGGAACATTGGATTTTTGCAAGGAGCAAACCGGAATAGCAAGACGGGCCTATTTTCCAACTATAGTGGTCAAGTGCGCACACAAAAAATGTAAAACTGGATCCTGCATCCAGCAGCAAGTCTAGTTTACCATCAACCACAGCAGTTCTAGTGCTATCAAATTGCAAAATTTAATGAAGCTTAAAGCAGTTAGACAAACATGAAAGCACAGTCACAGCAAACAAGCAGTTATGGGGGCTAGAAATGCTTTGCTTAACTTGCAGAGATGCGTCCCAAGTCATTTTTCTAATCACCTTCACCGCAAACAGCAGTTATTTTGGGAGGGTTTTCAGAAATCGTACGGGCAATTTTGATGAGGCTTCTGTATTGGACCCAACTAATCCACTCATGTCACTCGACTCACTCCTACCCCATAGATATACATCATTTTTAAAGCCCTAGATCCACATTCTAGTATTCTACAACTCGGAGGTCCAGTACAGAAGGGTCCACTATGCTAGTCCAGTTTGTTCATAATTTTGTCCGGTGTTTACTGCGGTCAAGCATACTGGGTCCAGGTTTTAATAGCAAGTGTGCTCGCGCGGTGCTGCGGGTTTTGAAACTGTATAAAACATGTAGAAAGTTTTATATATATATGATTAGCATTACCACTTGTATACATGGGGAAATCTATTTACAACCTTATCGACAATAAGAAGCAAGGAGTAGCGTTTAATTTCCAGAATCTAATGGTTTGATACTTCACTTTGTTTCTCCTTTCTTCTGATATGTTTCTGTTTTCATTTATCTGTTAGAAATTGGAAAAATTGAAGTTAATATGAACAATGACAAGTGGATTTGTTAAGGGATGCTTTTGCTAAAGATTAGAACAATAAAAGGAATAACATAAAGTTAGAAACAAATGCATAAATGGACAGGTGGTTGTTTATAGAAAAGTTTCTCTATCTTGACATTCAAGACACAAAGTTTCAAATCTAAAGTATTTAGCATATTTAAACATGAAGGAGCGCTGATTGCATCAACTAATTAGGCTTAGAAAAATGGATTCAAGTAGATAACCGATTAAAATTGAGAAGGAAATTCATCAACAAAGTTGAAGCCGGTTTTCAAAGTAGAAAAGTCGTTTTGAAAGAGAAACATTGCAGATCCACACAAGGATTACCAAGTTTTACCTTTACATCAGACAGAATCTGTCATTTCCGAGAGGATTCCTCTTTTTTCTGTTTGCAGATCCATCGGATTGACCATTTCCTTGGCAAAGCACACACATGCATCGGCTTCAGGGACCTGCAAAGAGCATACAAGCATCAGACACATAATCGGACACATGCATGAAGGCAAGGTTGATTTCATATGACCTCGGATGTCATGAAATCAGATGACAGAGCAAGGACGGATTTTTACCTCGCTGGATTTGCAGCCATTTTCATGGTTGCCGTTCGAATGGAGTAAGGAGAGTGATATTTCTCCAACCTTGGCGTCGCCGGTTTCGGATCCGAATTCCAGCCATCTGTAGAACCAAGGAGAAGAGAAACAAAATCGCATCTTCGCCAGTGTGGCCGTGCACCAAACAAGAATTTACATACTAACAAAAATTTCAGCAGCAATAAAAACAATAAAATTATTCATTATTCATCATTCGTGACCTCAGACATTTTTTCCTCTCAAACCAACAAATAAGTAAGATTCAACAATCCATTGTTGATTCCATTTTTTCCTCTCAAGCCATGTATAACCTGTGTGAAAACGGGTCAAACTCCAAGCAATGATCACAACCAAACCCTATGATTTTAACCATCATAGGGTCGATAGACTTGCCAAGCTTGTGGGTATAAGTATTATAGATAAATATATGAGAGGAACAAGAAGTTTACAAAGCTTGTGGGGTATAAAGAATAATAATAACCACTGGTCCACCAGAAGAAGATTTAAATCTTAATTTGCAAAAGCACGTAGCATGTAAAGATGTTGTAAAAAGAATGATTTATGCAAGGTTGATTAGGGTTTAGGTAGCTCACGGGAAGAAAGAGACTTGTATAATTTGCAAAAGCATGTAGCATGTAAAGAGTAAATCAATACTGCACAATGGTGATGAAACTGGCCCTCTTTTTCATTTTATATTTTACTACATCCATGGTCGCCACCCCGGGAACGGAGGGGCTTGAGTTCAGTTTAATTGGAAACGACGATGCGGACGACTATCAAGTTGACCGTGCTGAAGCATGCAGAAGCTTCATCGGATCTCTCCGACAACTATTGCTCAGTCCGGATCCACACAGGTCACAGAGTATATGGATTTCTTGTGCTTCGAGCTGCATCGACGTTGCCAAATCGACAATGCTTCCTACAAGTCAAGCTTGTCAACTACGAAGAAGATCGCGTCACCATAATTATTGATATTTCGAATGTGTATGTGGTAGGATTCATCGCCGGCAATGCACGCCGCCACTTCGAAGACTGTCCTTTAGAAGCAGATTACGTAGCTTTGTTCCCTGGTAGCGTACAGCTAAGTTACGTAATCTGCTTCTAAAGGATAGTCTTCGAAGTGGCGGCGTACATTGTCGGCGATGAATCTTACCACATACACATTCGAAATATCAATAATTACGGTGACGCGATCTTCTTCTTAGTTGACAAGCTTGACTTGTAGGAAGCGTTGTCGATTTGGCAACTTCGATGCAGCTCGAAGCACAGGAAATCCATATACTCTGTGACCTGTGTGGATCCGGACCGAGCAATAGTTGTCGGAGAGATCCGATGAAGCTTCTGCATGCTTCAGCACGGTCAACTTGATAGTCGTCCGCATCGTCGTTTCCAATTAAACTGAACTCAAGCCCCTCCGTTCCCGGGGTGGTGACCATGGATGTAGTAAAATATAAAATGAAAAAGAGGGCCAGTTTCATCACCATTGTGCAGTATTGATTTACTTGAAATGGTAAGAAAGAAAGGAACATGAGGGGGTGTGTGAACTGGGAATAGTAAACGTAAGCCTCCGATCGAGTTTGAAGGTGGTTTGATTGTCGAAGGTCAAACGACCTATTTATATACCAAAAGTCATTGGTTTCCATACAAGTCTCTTTCCTCCCGTGAGCTACCTAAACCCTAATTAACCTTGTATAAATCATTCTTTTTACGTGCTTCTGCATATTAGATTTCAGGTAGGCAAGGCACAAAAAATTACACACAACGAAACTATTGAAACTTTAAACCCTACTTCCCAAATAAGCTTCTCCGACTGGCTAATGGCCAAATTGGATTTATATTATCATTTCAAACACTGCAATGCCTGAGTTTTTTTACTAGACATTCTAATTAATCATTATTTAACTAAAGAATACAATTCATAGAACAATAATTGGACAAAACAGGTGAAGCAATATTAAAATCATGGGGTTATATGAATTTTGAGGTCTGAGGGTGATAGCTTAATGGCACCAAATTGAAATCGTAAACCCAAAACCCAATCAAATGATAAGGAAAAGAAATAAAAATGTTACCTTCCTGAGGATCCAGAAGCTGCCTCAGATTTTGAGTCGCATAACTAAGGTTGATTACTGCTAAATGCAAAGAAGAGAAAATACATGTTATTACCTATAAAAATAAATAAAAGCACAATAACCAACAGGGTTTTGCTCAAATATGTTATTAATTAATTTACAACAAAATTAACTGAAGCAAACAAATCTGAAAACAGGGCTAACCATCAAATTCTCAGGGAGCTTCTTGGTTTCAGGTTTACATGCTGATCTGCTTACTTTGTCACATTCAACTCTCGAGCATTTTTAGACGCGTAAATAACCTCGGAGGTCATGAAATCAGATGACAGAGAAAAGAAGGATTTTTACCTCGCTGGATTTGCAGCCATTTTCATGGTTGCCGTTCGAATGGAGTAAGGAGAGTGATATTTCTCCAACCTTGGTGTCGCCGATTTCGGATCCGAATTCCAGCCATCTGTAGAACCAAGGAGAAGAGAAACAAAATCGCATCTTCGCCAGTGTGGCCGTGCACCAAACAAGAATTTACATACTAACAAAAATTTCAGCAGCAATAAAAAGAATAAAATTATTCATTATTCATCATTCATGACCCTCAGACATTTTTTTCGTCTCAAACCAATAAGTAAGATTCAACAATCCATTGTGCATCTTACTTGTTGGTTTGAGAGGAAAAAATGTCTGAGGTCATGAATATTGTATCAGCATCAAGAATGCTCAAATGAAAAAGAGGGCCAGTTTCATCACCATTGTGCAGTGTTGAAATGGTAAAAGAAGAAAGAAACTTGATGGGTGTGTGAGCTGGGAACGGTAAACGACCTATTTATATACCAAGTCGTTGTTTTCATACAAGTCTCTTTCTTCCGTGAGCTACCTAATTTCCATACAAATCTCTTTCTTCCCGTGAGCTACCTAAACCCTAATCAACCATGCATAAATCATTCTTTTTACACCATCTTTACATGCCTACAGATTTAAGATTTAAAACCTTCTTCTTGTGGACCAGTGGTTATTATTATTCTTTATACCCACAAGCTTCGTAAACTTCTTGTTCCTCTCTTATATATTTATGGAATTTTTGAACTTTAATCATTCAAGAAGATTAAAATTTAATAAAAATCTGGTGTTAGATTGGATATTGATTTTAGTCCCTAATGTGTACTCAATTCAAATTTATATTATATTTTTGTTTTAATATTTAATAGATATCTTATTTAATGCCATTGCATTAAATTTGAAATTTATTATTATACACATTTTAATTCATTAATTTTATTTAACCTCCTCTAATTAGTGTACTTAAACATCTGTATCATAATATATTTTACTAATTTAGTGTACCGAAATGTTCGTACCTAAATATATTGTAGTAAATTAGTGGCACATAAGAAAATATGCAAAAATATAAGTGTACTGAAAATTCCGTATCTAACTATATGACACTAAACTAGTGTACCAAAATGTCGATACCTAAATATATTAGACTAAACTAGTGTACCTAAATGTCAGCACCTAAACATATTATACTAACCCAGTGTACCAAAATGTTCGTACATAAATATATTGTAATGAATTAGTGGCACATAAGAAAATATGCAACAATATAAGTGTATCGAAAAATCTCTACGAAAATATTTTCTTATATAAGATACTCACCATAATGAGAATTAAAATTTATAATATTTTCATAAAATTTAATTTATGAACACCATAAAATTATAAATAAAAAAGAGAGACATTGAATACATTTGCTGGCATATAATAGAGTATAGGGACTAAAATCAATTTTTAATCTTGTATAAGACATTTTTCTAAACTTCATCTTATTTAGGGATTAAAATCTAGTTTTCTATAAAATTAATACATTAAAAATTAGGAAGAAAAAGAGAAATAATTAATAAATAAAAATATAATTAATAAATGAGGTTATTAATGTATCAAGGGACTAAAATTAAATTTTGATCATACTCATGATTTTAATCTAAAAGTCATCTATGTCAAGGATTAAAATGAAGTTTTCTATTTTTTTTATTAGATTTGTATATCTGACTTAGTTAAGAAGTAGTTTAAGATGCAGTCATTAGGGAATTTCTGTAACTGAACGTAGTTGTTTTCATGAGGTCGATAAATACAATGAGGTGCTTCTATATCAAGAAGTGGTTTTATACGGACGCATTGTGTGATGTGTAAAATATTAAAAGGAATACTCGTTCCCGTCCAGCCTTCCGTTTTCTGAGTCTTATTTTTCATTAGTCATATGAAAGATACTGCAATACCTTGGGATCAAAATAGCTAAGAAACTGGACTTGGACATCTTTATTCTATAGAGCGTTGTAAAAGTAATTTAGACCTTATAAGTTTATATTAATCCTTCACTTCTGTTCATTCATTGTAATTTCTATATGGTTTGTCCACTTTTGTCATCTATAAAATCTGCTCGTATTGTAGGTCCTAGCTATTTTCTTTGAATGCATATATACTTCTCTGTGTTGTATCACAGTGAGATTACTCTTGAAGGAAGAAGTACGACCAAGCTTGATCAAAATTTACTCGAAGCCATTGTACATCGTTAGGTCCTAAAAAAAATTATTTTTAAATGAACAGTGTCAGGCAAATCAACCCATTGGGTTGTCAATGGATACCCATTGAGATCCATTTAGTTTGATTTCACCTTGTACTATCACCACCACCACCATTCTCACCTCTATATTATAGTAATATCAAATTAAATGGATCTTAACAGGTACCTATTAACAACCCAATTAGTTGATTTGCCAACTCTAAACGGTACAAGATCAAGGTTTCCATGTGGGCAGGAAGTCATACTTGTCAAAAATAAAAAGTCCAAACTACACTTTACACCCTATATATTTGAGTTGGTTTTCAAAAATGAGTCTCGAGGTTTCAAATTTGTTCACATTACACACCTTGAGGTTTTAGAATTATATCGATTTACACATTTTGTTTATTTGAACATGTAACTCTCTGTTAAATTGATGAGTTTTTAATTAATGTGGTGTATAGTTTGCATTTTTTTAAAAACAATTATTATTAATGGAAGAGAGTTTGAAACTATTATAACAATTTGGGAGAGAGAGTTTCAATCCTGAAACGGAATATGTTGAAACTCAAGACCCTATCCAGTAGGAAAGTGGACTGCATGCAATGTAGCTTGCATATCAAACCTATTACGAGTTCTATGCTCATCATGCCATCAATTTAATGAATATTCAAGTACAAATGCATAAATTACAACAATTTCAAAACTTCATATTGCAATTTGAGAAAATTAAAACCGCATGACACATTTTAAAAAACCACCCCCAACTTAAAAGGATATAAATGTAGTTTAGAGATAACATAGAATTAAGGGAAAGACTGCCGAAGGATAACGTTGGCTTAGTCACGGGAAGGCAATGGTTTAGGAGGGAGAGATTCTACATTCATTTATTTCAAAATTTATATTTGAATCTATGTACAGATTTAGGGAAATTAACCGAGAGCTCTTCAAATTTAGGACCCTCTGTTTTCTTCAGCTCAACTTACAAAACTATACAACCAGCCCCTTGTGGCAAATAGTATTACATCCCGAGGCCGAAGACCATCAAGGCGTGAGAGATGGCTTCAACCCGCATTGCTCGAAGTTAGTCTGTCTTCTGCTGCACAAATGCACGGTCTCGAAGCGATACCAAGGGATGCATCAATCTTCCTCGTGCGTCCTTGGATGATGAACATGGCACCTGAAATCCTTCTTTCTATAGTGGCCACCCGACTAGAACAAATAATATTGTCTCATTTTACTCCCCTTCTCGACTGGGGTTTCTTAAAGCCGCCTTCAAGGAACCTCTCTGGAGGACAAAATGTTTCCCTCATTAAAATCTTCGTAGGGCGAGGATCCACTCGAAGAATCACTCTCGAATGCAGTGGTCTCCCTTGGCGAGGATGCGAGTGAATCTCTCTGTTGTGAGGATGAACCTTACAAAGACGAGAAAAAGTAAAAGTGAATTCAGCTTCAATGATAAAAATCATCAAAGTGGGCATCCAACATTGCCAGAAAAAGGGAGGTTGGACAGACAAAGACAGTTTCTATAGGATCACCTACTTATCGTCTAAATAAATGGCATCCCTAAGAATGAACAAGCCATGCGCTATGTTATTTTCTACGTCCTTGGGGAAGAATAAAAAAGACAAGTGGGCAAAAGAAGGCGATGAGGTGATTGATCAATTTACGAAAGTGAACAATTTGACAAACCTTTTCTTGAACGGAAATTTTTCGTTTGCCGCCGGATAAGTCTCTTAGCTTTCGTTATAGTGAGCTGCCTAGCAAGTGGAGAGAACTCTGCATCACTTTCATTCCAATCTCCTTGGAAATCATTCTCTGCTTCACCCCTCATGGTTCGCAGTACGAATGCTTTGGCCTTGCGACGTTGAGTATTGAAAAGGCCTCTGATGGAAGTGACAAATCCATCACCTGCTCCGTCACTTGGACGCTTGAGAAACGTTATAGGATTCTGGTCAGGCTGTTCTGGCTGACCTTCATTGTCACTGAAATTAAGGTCACTATCCGGAACACCCGATCCACTGGGTTCCCTCTGACTGTTAGCCTTGTCCTTGAACTTCTTACCCTGAAAAAATTCACGGTGATAATTTAAGGCAGGTTAGAGATCGATGTTTTCATAACAATTTTCCTGCTGTTAAATTATAATAGTAGGGAAAATTCAACTAAACTGTGGTGTTAAAGAGGGAAGAAAGAGCCCTAGCTCATTGGATTTTTGTACGGATAATCAGCAGGGGTGAATATTAAAAGGTATAAATGCAGACCTGCATTCCCGTCACAGAATTCAAAACTCCCCAAATGATATGCTTCTTAACCCGCGAAAAGAGTCTCCGCCAAGTGCTGGTGAACTCAACACGGTGAAATGTATCCATCAGCAACCTAAGATCATTTACTACAAATCTAGATCCTTCGTAAGTAACACATAGCTCAACCTGTGAAAATACGATATTATCAGCAACTTAAGATCATTTACAACAAATCTAGATCCTTCGTAAGTAACACATAGCTCAACCTGTGAAAATACGATATTAGGCATTTGAGAAAAAATGGAAAATTAGCGGAATATGGAATTGTAGATAATGAAACTGAACCTGGCTTATCTTGATATTGTGAAACTCCATCATCTTTCGCGGCCTAGATCTTTTCTCTTCTTGTGACTTTGTTACCTTCTTTTTCTTCATGGGATGACCTACCAGATTTGACAGCTTTGGGGTCTTTCAATTTATTCTTCGAGGACTCATCTGGTTCAATAGAACCAAGTGGCCCGGTAATGCTCTGTAAGACAAGTTCTGTAGCAACTGATTCTGCCACAGTATAGACGTTCTTCTTAACTCTCTAGTTGGACTGCCACCAACTGTTGTCTTTAGGTTTTGCAATTTTGATTCCTGCACAGATGAATCAGGTCAAACAAAAAGATCAACAAAAGTGCAGTGTTGCTTTAAGATCACATGGAAGAAAATAAACGAACACAATAATTTCTCTATATCCATTCTAGTATAACATCAAATGTTGATTTAAAGTAACCATGCAATAAAAAATAAAAAAAAATAAAGGAAAGAAGAGAAGGAATCTCACTTGCACAGGATCTGCATGAATGGCGTTTTGCACCAGCAGTTGTTGAAACCTTCCAAACTTCCTGCATGTGACCAATTGGACAACCATTTATACCTCTGAAAAGTTCTAGCAGTCACAAATTTGAAATCAGTAACATTTCCAACATACCTGCCGTCTTTGTGAATCTTGTTCTTCTTCTGGGAATAAATATCCCCACATCATTCTGTACATTGCCTCGATCCGTTAAATGAATCTTGAGAAGATAGATCTCTACGTACAGAATTAAAAATAAATGTTGAAACATTGGTTTGCCAAGGCAAGATACACAAACCCAACAAACGGTTGATATAAGGCAAGCTAGATTCCATGCACTGCATACATGTTCTTTTATGATAGTATTACTGGTCAGACACTCTAGGTTATGAAAGGAATTTGGGTGCCCATAACCCGACCTTCTCCCAAAGAACTCTCCTCCGGATCTCTCTCTATCCAACCAAATTTCCCAAAAGAAACATACAACAGCACAATTATACAAAATTCTTGCCCTACTTCTGCCACTGAAAGTCAGAAGGATTACACAAACGGAGAGTTTGTGTGGGTACATTCATCCGTCAAAAGAGAGCTTTTATAAATTGAGTATCTAAAACAATGTGTGGTTGTTATCACATCCGCCCAAATGCTCACTCCACCCTCTCTTAAAAAAAAAATTAAAATACAGTTTTATCCTCTTGCAAAGGAGAAGTTAGAGATTTAAAAGAAAACAAAACTAGGGATTCTGTGAGTGTATCTGTGGCAGTCACCATACAGATCAAACCCAAAATAACCAAAAGCAAATGGATTATTAGTATTTATAGTTATTTGACAATGACAGTGGATGTGAGAGAAAGAGAACCTATTACCTGAAAACGTTCAAGAGAAGAATTTCCGTCCTTAGGAGCTCCTTGCTTTGCATCCACGCGAAACAAAACTTTCCTGTAGCCAAAATCGTATATCTTTAATTTGAGAACAATTATAGAAAACACTAGCTTCTTGTCTTGGTTTGTTGCTTGTTGCAGGGTGGACACATTTGACATGGTTCAATGAAGGTGTCCTTACTACTTGTCGCCACAGCGGTGGATCGTATGTAAGTCAATTTTTGAATCAGTTGATCACACGTTCCTTCATTGCTCGGTAACTTTGGGTATTTGGTTGAAATTGATTACGGAGATGAGCATTACCACGGTAGTTTCAAGGGATTGTTTCTGGAATATCTTATAGAAAACATAGAAACATGAGTGTTATGTCTCGGATTCGATACTCCGAGCTGGTAAGTATGTTTGATTATGGCCACATGTAGGATGAAATTCCTCATAATCTTTTCGGGTTCAAAAGAGATGGATAACCGTGGCTTATCACTAGTTGTTCCTTTAAAAAAAAAATTGAATGTTATGCAATTAATGATGTCAAATGCTTTCCAAAAACATGGTAGACAACCCAAGTCGTACAGACACCGTTGATGAAATAGAACAAGTACAAGAAGTAGAACTCGGTGTCTTCTGTTAGTGTAATGGGTATCTTACAAATAAATGAAACCAAATCGACTAAGGAGAGTCTAATTTTGGGCAAAAAATAGAAACTTGAATATTATGCTAATTATTGGCGGTGACATGTGGTGGTGGTGTCAGGGTGACGATTGTTGTGGTGGTGGAAATAATGGCAGTGGTGGTGCAAGGTAGTGTTTGCAATGGTAAGTGGCGGCGATCACCTTGTTGCCCAATGGATAAAATGTGTGTAGCATGATAAAAAATGTTGTTTTTAAAAATTGATGATAGTGTTATAAGAATTGAAAATATTCAATAAAAGCTTAACTCCACTTTTTATTAAATCAGATTTTAAAAGCAATTTACAAACTGCTTTTAAAAGCTGCTGTTTGGAGCCCATAATTTTTAAGATAAGCATGATATTTAAATTTTGTCAAACACTATTTATTGCTTAAGTTTAAAGTGAAGAAGTTTTTGGTGAAAAAAGTAATACCAAATGGGGCCTTATTCTTCCTTATGGCCTTATGCCTTTATTTATGCTAATCAGATGATTGTTGTAACACCCACCCCCATTTTTTAAAATATAATTATGTAATTACCACAAAATATTATGAATCTATCATTTTGGTCCTATTTTGACTACCCAATCAGGATCTAAATAATTGGATTTCTTTTCTTCCTCAAGCTGCCACATGGCAGTACCCCATCACTTCTCTTCATTTTCTTCTTCATTTTCTTTATGTATTTCCTTTCTCTCCCTCTCGGATCTCTCATTTCTTTCCCTCTCTTCATCTAGATCGCACGAACGTACACAGAAGCACTCGTGCTCGAGGAAGATCATCGTCATCATCCCTTCGTCCTTCTCTCTCCCTCTTTCCCATGCTACGAGGACGAACCCAGAAACTCGGAAAGGAACTCCAGCGAGTTTTTCTATTTCCCGAATTAGGTAAGCCTCAAATCCTTTCTTTTTTGTTCTAGAATCATGCGGGAATGAGTTTTAATTGAGTTTATTGCTTGATTTTGGAGGTTTTAGGATGAAATCGAACTCGGGTGTAGACATACCCATCTCCGGCGAACTCGGGTGTGTCAAGGGACTATCCGGCCATCTCCGGCCGTTCTACGGCGAAAGGAAGGTATAAAAACACTCCCCTCGTCTTGTACTTCGTTTTGGTACCTAGATCGGAGTCTAGGGTTGTGGTTTGTGGTCGGCCGGAGTTGTAGAAGCTCCGGCGTTCTCCTCCTGTGCGCCAGGCCTTTCAGGTCGGTTCTAAGGCACTCGGGCCTTAGGCCCGTAGTGAGCCAAGCCCAAAACCCTAACCCAATTTCTTTTAACTGTTTTAAGACCCAAAGGCCTTCGGGCCGTTTCCTTAGGGCCCTTGGCCCGTTGACTAAACCCTAAACCCTTTATGATGAGGCCCTTGGGCCGTGTAGGTCTGGGCCTGAGCCTAGAGAGCTCCTAACCCTTTTCCCTTTTTAATCAGCCCACCTATTAACCCTTTAGACCCAAAACCCTTCAGGCCATTTCGACCCAACCCAATCCATGCCCAGTCTGACCCTTTGACCAGTTGACTCTGATTGTTAACTCGGTCAACGGTCAGCGTTGACTTTGACCGATCACCGCTCACGTTGACTTTTTGAGTTGACTTTCATGCGAAAAGTGGCATGATTTAATGATTACGTTTTATGAAACGCTTTGAGATAACATGCTTACTGAGGCTAGTTTGAATTATTACTATTTTTCCTATAATCCATGTTCTTATAGAATATCCGATGGATGACGATATGATATTTAGAACATGTTTCGAACACCTCTTTATAGTATAGATGATGGATGACTTTATACTATGAAGTTGCTTTTCAATATATATATGTTCAATGGTTTTGTACTTACCTAGTGGTCATTTCCGCTACGGGATGTATGGATAGATTCCGGTCTGTCCCGGGCAACGGTTTGGTGTTGGCATAGGCCTGGAGTGTGTTTCCTTTGGCTATTTAGCATAGGGACGGGGAGCCGGCATGGGGCCTGGGGTTATCGGACAATTCACTAGTGATTATTATATATATGAGTTATGATTTGAGACATTGCATGACATGCTAGGTTTCGGAAAACCTATTTTGATCATGATATATGTGTTTTCATAAAACCTGGGGGTTAGTACGTTGATAACTGTTTTACTATATATATATATATATATATCAACTTGGTCCACTCATGTTTGTTTTGCGCCCCCTTCAGGACTTAGAATCGAGGCATACAATCCCGGCATCCAGACACTTCCGCATCGGCATCTTCGAGTCCTCTTGGTGTAGGACCCATTCTTTTATTCATTCAATTTATATTATTCTTTAGGTGTTCTAGTTAGTTGTATGCTCTAAACACGTTCCTGAAATGCATATTCATTAGTCTTTTATATTTATAAGTCTTATTTACTCCTTATTATCAGCATTTGCATTCAATAAATGGCTTTCGTCACCCTTGGGTGTCGGCCAGCACGTGCCTATCCTGGTATTTGGGGAATATCGGGATCGGGGCGTGTCAGATTGGTATCAGAGCGTGGTTTTGTTCAAAGCATACTTAGGATCTTCTCTTACTCTAGTAGTGTGTCCGTTTTGACGTCATTTGGATGTCAAGACTTTCAAAGTTGATGCCATTCGGCGCAATTGTGCAAACCTTTCTCTGTTTGAATTGTCACATTCTGGTTGAAATACAAGAAATTCGTGTCGGGATTGTGCCTCATCGATGACGTGTTTGATTTGTTGGACGATTTTTAACATCGGATCGATACTCTACGACATGCATTCACTAGGAATGTTGTGCAGAGTCGATGTTAATTAGAAGCGACCTGATTTAGAAATCTCGGTTTGAGGAATTCTAGTCAAGATCAGTTGTAGATCCAAAATGGCGATGCCACTCTGTAACATGCGTTCTCTAGGAATTGCGGGCGGAGTCGGCTCTACATCGAAATCTTGGGAAACGGAAAAATCTTGGTGGTACGAGTTGGTTAAGACCAACTGGAGATCTGAAGTGATGATATCACTCTGTGATATGCGTTCCCTAAATTTTAATGGACTTGTTTTGACTCTCAAATTCTTGAGTGTTCTTTCAACCTTCTTGACATGGTTTTTCGCTTAATCAGTGAAGAATTCACGATCGATCATTTCGGTGAAAATGTGCACCCAGTTCGTGTCGATTCGGATAGGAACGATAGGAGCATAACCTTTTCACAAGCTTACCAGACTTACCAGAAAGAGTT